TGAGAAAAATCTTTTAAAAAGGCGGGGGGGGGAGAAATTTAAAAAAAAAAAAAAAAGCAAAAAAGTTGCCCTCTCCCAATAAAGTTGGAGTCATGGGCTGTGGAAGGTTCTCAGTGGATCCTGTGCTGCTTGGACGTTAAATCAATCTTCAATGCCCTCTGGTGCCAGCACAGCGAAGTGTTTGTGCTTGGAGGCTGCATCTGGATCCCGGCTCTGCTTCCTTCCCTCTGGCTCCGTGTCCCTTCACCCTCACCACCAGCAGCCCAGCAGCTCTTCCCAGAATTGAGGCTCTTCACCATCAGGATGAAAATCCCTCAAGGCAGAGCCCTGTCCTGCATCTCTGGACCACATGTGTTCAGGACTATTCCAGAAGAACAGGGAAAAAGAATAAAAGAAAAAAAAAATATATATATATCTCACTGGGGTACAGCCTGCTGAGCACTAGGAGGCTTTATTTGGCTCCTTGAAGAATCATTTGCCTTCTTGTAGGTGGAAAGGCCCTCTGCTTTTTAAAGCTGCTTAGTTGTCTTTTTTCTTCACTAGTGGAAAGGCAAACAGTCCTTTTCTTCCCATTTTGCACAACTGAAACCTGCTGGTAAACTGAGATGAGAGATGCCCAAGAGGAGCAGACAGCCAGCAGTTGGAGGGGAGGCAAGTGTTACATACCTGATCTAGGGTAAAACTTACAGAAAACCATATCCGTGGTGCCTAAAGTGTCAGGAATGGCTTCGCTTTTGGGAGCAGTTTTTGCCAATCTCTATGTGTGTCATTTTCACCAACCTAGAGATACCAGTTCTTTGGCCAAGAGGAAAATAGCCGAGAATCTACGTCCTGTCTACAGTCTGTGACGCTCCGAGATTAAGCGCTCTGGTACATTTAAACTCTTGAAAGGCAACAATTAAATTAGAAAAAACAAGCCTGAATGCACACCGTGCCTTAAAAGCTTTGCATACTATTTGCACAGCATGAAGGAAGGCTCATGAGAAGGAAATGAGCAGCTAATCCAGGGCTCCTGACGAAGGTGGCCGCTCCCAGGCACTGGGCAGGAGTTTCGGGTGAACTACGTGGATGCACTCGCACCTTCCACGCACAGCAGAACCAGCCTGCAGAAGATGATGAGTGGTTGGACTTGCTTTGGGCTCTGCAGAGCCAAGGAACATCTCCAAGACGTGCATCCAACGCAAAGCATGTGCCAGCACAACCATCTCCCTGCTCACCTGGCCTGGAAGGAGTGGTGGACAAAGTTTCCTTGGATGCTCTTAGCAGTTGATTTGGTTGCACCAGGTCCCGGTTGGACCAAGTGCAATGCAGTTGCGTGTCCTGAACACTGTGAGCCTGGGCTCCGAGCGAAGGACCAGGCACCAAGACCATTGCAGGAGGTCTCCCTGCACTGCTGCTTGCGCAGGCATGTCAGGTCCTTGCAGGAAGGCGTCCCTACCTTGAGCGAAAGCAATTAAAGCATTTTACTTGAAAAAAAAATAAATAAAAAGAAAATCCTGTCTGCATATGGGTGGGGGGAAGGAAGCCAGCAAGCGGAGAATAGCTTCAAAGAGAAAAGGTCAGCAAAGCAGCGAGGATGGATTAGTAAAGGACAATGCAGCAAAGGCCTGATTAATTTAATTGCTCATCTGAAACACAGTCACAGATTAAAGGAGGATGAGGAAATTATAAGCATGTGAATGGAGCCAAGTGATGATTTCAAGGCAGAACATGCCCAGAGCCTCCCCCAGCACAGCCGTACAAGGAGCGTGTTCAGGGACTGCACTACCAGCTCCTGCCTCTCATCCCGTGTCCAAGAGGAGCAGGGATAATGCTCACAAACAGTCAAGTAGCTGCAGATTGGTATTGCTGATAGTGACATAAATATAGCAAAAACCTGCAAGGACACTTAACATGTAAACCATTTGGGCACCAAGGCACCCGACAGAGCTGAGGTCGTCACGGTGAAAACAGATTTACAGCTCTGTGGCTCAGCCTATACACTCCATACTCAGCCACAGCCTTGAAGGAGCAACTACTGAGTGAGCTTCACAAAGCAGAAATCCATTTCCACTTCCTACTTGTCTTAAAAAATGGTCTAAATATGATCCCTGTATACATACATTCAATAAATCATGTGTGCAAACACACCAGAACTACTGGTAACTAGAGAGAGACAGAAATAAAAATAATCCCAGGAAACAAAGCATAGGAAGCATAAAAGTTAGTTCAAAACAGTGTTCCATTCTTGTTTTAATTCTTTTAAAACAAGGCATTGTATTTGGTAATATAAAATAGCACTGAAAGCAAACAACTTTGAATGGGAACTCAAGCTATTCTATGAAGGCCAAACACACCTCATCAGCATCCTTCATCTCACTATTGCAAAGAGAAGTGAGAAACTTCTCAGCTAAATCTGCTCCCCGAATGACTCTCATCCCCTTAGTTATTCAGCATGGGCCAAAACACTTGGAAAATGGTCCAAGACTAACAGGCACCATTTTTGGCAATGTTTTTCCCGCAGGACACAAGCAAGAGAGCTGTATCCTGGAATTTGTACAGTAAAGAGACTGACTTATCCCCTCCCTCTAAGCACTAAGGTAAGAGAATTCTCAAGGAAGCCTAATGTGCTCATTTAAAAGGCATTTCTCTTGATTTGAGAAGTCCGAGTGATGGGAGAACTTATCCCTTCAGCTGAGCTGCTTCAGCTGTTCATGACCATCACTGCTAATAGGGACTATTATTTTTGTTTGAATTTCTGCACCTGGTAGAAGGGAGAACTGTCTCACCTTAGCACTCCTCCCATTGCAGAAATGCTTCCTCCAAGTCAGCCCTCAATCATCTCCTCAGCGAGTGGAGTCGTGTCAGGAAGAGTCGAGGCCTGCAAGTGCCTCTGTGCAAAATTCATCTTTCAAATCTTGCACTTCCTTGCAGTTCATTTCTACCCCTATCAACCTTTCAGTATTATTTTCAAAGCATAAAAATACAGGAGAATAAAGTTTTCTAGTAAATCCCCCAATTTCAAACTAGATGCCCCAAGACAAGTATTTCCAACAGTCTAACATGATGGCACATGCTGAAATATTTCGATGTGCCAAAGCTTCAGGTATTTGATGAGGTGAGAGGAGGACGGCGCAGGACAAAGGCCAGAACATGTTCAGAAAGGTCTAAAGCAACAGGACCTCCAGGAGCTGGGAGTGACTGGGCAGGGGTCAGGGGATGCGGGAATACGATTTTCCCTCATTCCCTTTGCACGAGACAATCTGACCCAAAGGGCTGGGAAATAAACACTGACGCAGACATGAACGTTTACCATTCAATGTATTATTCCCTTGTGTACAAAGTATTTTGCCTCTATAATAGCACACAGGTATTGAAATACGATGGCAAATGCAGAAAGACCATACAGACGTGTCTTACAGGCTTTTTCATTTCCTTTTGAATATAATCAGAGAGAAAAGAAACACTGTACAGCAAAGTGCTTGCGAGAAAGAAAAAACAATTTGTAGAAAAACAATGGCATTGATATACAAGGTGGAATTGTTTCCTGAACAAGAAATGTCTCTGGTCCTCAAAGCTTGTTCCTATTTAATGAAACCCATTAATGATTCAAAAGATCATGTTCTATCATTTTTCCCTTTTTTTTTTTTTTTACGTTTAGGTTTCTCTTGCTCTGTTAATAACTTTTATGAAACAATATGGTAGAAAGGAATGTGTACAGGTCTAAATAATACTTTTTTTTTAATATAAATAGCCATTTACTTCATTAGCGAAAATATAACATGCCTGTACTGTCTAAGCACCAATGTTTATCCCTAAAGTTCATAGTGCAATTTTCCCTTTTCCCCTATAGAAGTTAAACATGAGCCATAATTATTTAAAAAAAAAATCACAATTCCTTTACTACTCCTTTTCCCTTTTTTTTTCTTTGAAACGGTATTTTTGGCATTTTCTCAGAAACGCATAATTTATGCCTGCTACCCATAAGCATACAGAATAGGTGAAACATCAGTCTTTCTAACATACAAGGATACCACTTATWTTACGCAMTATAAAACAACAACACCAAAAAAAAAAAAAAAAAAAAAAMMAAATTATTAGCAATTAGTCTCATTCCCTCTCGTGAGCACAGCGGAGCAGTGCAGGGGGGTGCAAGGGAGCGCAGAGCACCGATTCCGGGGAATCTTTGCATTTACGGCTCTTGATCCTGCTGCTGGGCCACAAAACCATTCCCCGTCCTGGCACTAGGGACAGGAGGATCGCGGCAGCAGATGAAAGACTCACAAGAGACCCCGAAGGTTGGGATATATTTTTTAAGTAGCTGCACCTCAAATTCAGAGACTTATCTGAATTAGCAGATAAGCCTCTTTGGTCTTCCAAAAGGCTGACTTTTTTTGCTAAAAAAAAAAAGAAAAAAAATAGAAAAAAACCCAAACTTAGTCTTTGCGCTCCTCCTTGCCCCCGAGTGTGCAATGAATGGTCACTACCTTCCTACTACTAAGGCAAAATGCAGAGAAAGAGCTACAGGACATAGTCATAGACTACAAAAATAACCTGGTCACATCACCCCCGTTGGCAAGCTAGCGGAGCCGTAAGCGGCAGGCTATGTACAGGCGCCGTGGTGCCCGCTCCCTGCACCCCGGGATGCGCAGCGAGCGCCGGGGCCTTTCCAGGAAGGTGGGCAGTGATGCAGAATTAGGCGTGGAGCAGCCGGTTTGGGAGCGCCGGGATGCGCGAGCTCCGGGGGATGCTGCTGCAAGCAGCGCTGGCGCCGCACGCACGGACTGGGCGCCGGTGGGAGGCATCGGGCACCCTCGTGTCCTTGCAGGGGTCCCCACTGCCAACCCGGGGGACGCGGTGGGGAGCACGAGTGGCTCCTGGGCAGGATTTGGCAGCGACTCCCATGCGGAGCAGCCCAGTGAGCATATGGCCTCGTCAGGCTCTCTCGGATGCGCTAGTGCCCCCGCTTCCAGATGGAGCCTGGAAGCACCGCGGCACATGCAATTAGGAGAGAAATCCACTCTTTTGCTTTTTTCCCCCGTTCTTTTTCCCCCTCAAAATTTCCCCTACTTCATTCAGTAGCCTTACAAAAAAAGGGGTTCAACTTTGCAATCTGTTTTTATAAGTTTTCCAAAGTGGGGAAACTTTTCCCAAGTATTTATTGGAATGGGCTGCCTGTTTTCTGCTTTCTTCCTCTTTTCGCTGGTAAAGGCACTGGATTTAAGTAACTACAACTACAGAGCGTTAATAAATACCATGTTAGCACCAAACCAGTTACTCTTAGCACTGGCCACAGAGGTCATGTGAAACTCAAAACATACCTAAAAGATAAAGATTGCTAATGCAACTAGCACTGTATTCATTGTCGTGTTTTCCTCGAGTGCTGTCAGCCTGATCGCTAAAATAAGATTTAAGCACATCTTGTCTATTTTCCTTGCACAAAGACAGATTGAAATGCCAAAAATACCCCTATGCAGATTGTGTAGCACCGTTAAGGGCCAAAGCAGCCCATAACTGAAGGAAAATTACTGACTGAAAGTAAACAACTGAATACAGTGACAATAAAGTATCACTTGTCATAATGCTACATATAATGTAGAGTACGTAAAATGCAGTGGTTTGACTGCAGGATTTAACAATAAAAAATTAAAAATAGGAAAAGCAGCCTTAATATAATGATTTTACGTACAAAAATATTAAATCAAAATAAATAATTCCAAACATAAATATTATACTGTACATTAAGAATATGCAATCTATATACACACATAAACAGATTTTTTTTTTAAAAAAAGTGGAAGGCAGAGGTATTGCATCGCTATCCTTCATCCATCTCAGCTTGCAGAGAACCTGGAAAACAGAGACAAGCTGCCCATTAGAGGAAGATCATCAGCTTTGCCTTCAAAACCCCTAGGTACTGAGATGGAAATGAGAATAAGGCTGCCTGCCTTGATACCAGAGTGCTGGAAAGATTTCCATAAGGCACTGCAGCACCTAGTAGTTCAGCACAAGTGTTTGGGCAAACTATTTTTGAGAGTATTATACAAAATCCCGAGTAACCACAAGCTTAAGGCACAGATCCTGAAGAGCTTCTCCATCCTTGCTCCATTGGCTTTCTGTGAGGCTCAAGAACCTAAACTCTAGATCTAAAGATGAGCACATTTGGGGAAATAAGACACTTCTGCAAACATTGCCCCATCTCTTCCTCCCACAGGACATCCTTGCAAAGGCTTCCCCTAATTCAGAGCGATCTGGGAACCTACCATTGCTATAACACTTGAACGTCAAGGCCTGTTCCGGACGATGGAGTACATTTTCCACAGTAACCGCCACATTTTCCTACTACTTTGGTACCATCCTGCAGGCAAAATCAGAAATAACATCTCACAGCAGGGTAAAAGCTCAGGAAGGCCACGCTGCTAAAGGTCCAGATATGGGTTATTCTAGCCAGGGTTTTTAATAGAAAATGTCCTGGGAAGAAAACAAATTATGCACTAAACCCATTACAAAATCATGGTTATATTTAAATGCATGCAAATGTAATTGCATTTAATACTATCAGGTCAGATGGTGAATACAAATAAGAAAGGGCATTTCTGGTTTATCACATGGAAACACGTTCAAGGAGAAGGCCTTTGAAGTGATAACTCCAGAGCATCCATCTACCTTCTCCAACTTGCCCCCGCAGTGAGTAACTAGTTATTGACTTCTGCAGGAGAAAACATATCTGGACAACAACAGCACCTTATATGTGACGGGGCAAGGAAAGGGTATTTGAAGACATCACTGAGAAAAACCAGTGAAGAATGAGACCAAGGAAAGCTTGGAGCAGTGCCTGGGCTGGCCTCATTTCCAGGAGAGCCTGGCAAATATGGGATAGCTCCACTTCTGAGTCGCTAAGATTAATACTGGCATAAGTGAGATCTACATCTGGCCTTCCTTTTGGCACCTCTCTGCAGTTTTCTTGAGGAGAATTCAACCCTCAATTACCGGGAAATTGGGCTTAAGTGCAAGACAAGCTCGCTCAAAGCATTTATTTCTAAACGAACTCCATGCTGTCCTTGACACTATTGATCAGTGATTGCAGCAGGCTGCTATCATCTCCTCTTGCCATTCTCTTCTTTCTCCTGCTCCTGCCAGCAATTACACCCGTGGAGCAGCGCTTGACAGATGTCACCGGGTGATCAAGGTAAGAGTCATCTCCTAGACTCCCTGTCCCTTATGGTTCAATTTAATTCTGACAGCCGTATTTGTGTCACTCTTGTCTCTGCTGCAGCCCCAAGTCAGCTGCCCTGGCTTCTCCTTTCCGAAGGGGAGAGGAAGAGCACAGCACCTCCCAAAAGTAGCCTGGGGGGCATCTTGCTGTCCCTCATGTACCTGCACGGGAGGATTTTTTAGCACTGCATGATCTGAACAGGGACATTCAATTCCGCTGAAAACAGCCTTTTAAGAGCCCCATATTGGCAAGGGACTCCCCAGAGAGATGGAGAGCACTGGACTGGGTCCTGGACAACGAGCTCCAGGTGATGCTACTTGACTAGGTGATCTTCAAAGGTCCCTTCTGACCTCATACGCTCTGATCCTGTAAAAACGTGGTTGACTTTGACCTCTTGCAAGGAGATGAGATGAGACCAGCTCAGCTGCAAGGCCCATGTGCCTTGTATTTTATTAGTCATATTTTGGTGCAACTCGGCACTTAAGAGCCTCTCTTGCAAGATGAGTAGTCTTGCTCAGTCCTGCCCATCATTTTTAAGTAAACTCGCAGCCCACCCCAGTGCTTCGTGGCTCGCTTTCTGGGGACCATTCTGCACCCAAATGCAGCCAACGCTGCCAGTCCCACACGCTGCTCCTTGCTGGGCAACTCAGACAACTAATTAAAGACATGTCAGCCCCACAGCACTCAGTGTTTCCAGCTTCACGGTTAAGCAGGCTCACTAATTAACTGCAATAATTCAGATGGAGTTAAACCCGCCAGGGTCACCCCCCACCTCGCCTACAATTATGAGTGACACTTCATTTCTCATGTCGGATGTTGGATTTTTTTCTTTTCTTTTTTTTTTTTAATGGTCTGCACTCAGAGGAACGCTGCTATGAAAGACAACGTGACTGGCGGCAATTAGGGGCTTTCCTTCAGCAGGTCTGACTGCCCGCAGAACTAAAACTTACGGGGGATTTCTGAATCTCCGACACTGCGTAATTCCCTTGCGAGAGCCACTTGGCCATTCCTGTTAGCGACAGGCCCGTTCCGTACAGGTTGATGCTGAAGCGACCCTAAAAAAAAACAAGCAGAAAAGCCTGATTATCTCCCAAGTGTCCAGCCTTCGGGCACGGCGCGCAGCCTCGCTACAGCTCGTCGCCGTGTCGCTTTTCCAACACAATCTCATGGGCAAAACTTGCAATTTTCCATAGCTCTGAGAGCGGTTAGCAACTATTGTACAAATCGCAGCATGGCTCGTGCTAGGAATTTCTTCTCGTTTGTGGCTGCAGGGAAGGAGGGGCTTTTTTCTCCAGATTTTAGTGCCTTTTTTTTTTTTTTTTTTTTTTTCCCCTAGGTTTTCCACTGCTTTTTCTCGCTCTGCCAGCTGAGGGCATCCTTGGCTTTCCCATGGCGGGCTGTGGTGCCTGATGCTCCAGCAGCTGCTGAGGACAGTCCCTCGGCTCTCCTTTCTCCCTCCTCACCTGGAGAGGGCACGCTTGTCCTGGTTTTCCACTGGGCTTTATTTCATTTATTTATTTAGTAAACAGTGGCTATTTTATGAATAGTAGCTTCAATAAAATCAAAATTCTCTTTTTCTTTCTTTTTTTAAAAAGGCCCTTCACTTTATTTGCTCTTGCTTGCAAAATGCACAAAATGGATGGAAAAAAAAAGGAAGGGTTGTGCCTGTATCCAATGCAGATCCTCCCCAAAGCCTCCCTCCTTGCTCCTATCCCTCCTGTGTCATGATGCCCGTTTCCACACAAGACAAGGGATCCTTTGGCCATAGTCCTAGGCTGACCTAGAGACCACCATGGCCAGACAGATGCTGCAGCGACCCTCAGCTTCATGCTCTTGCTGCCTGGGGAAGGCTGATTTTCAGCCAGGAGCAAACTGGTCATGCAGACACATATTGACATGCATGAGCCTTCCCAAGGTAAGTCAATCCCGAAGCTGCTGAGCTGTAGAGAGTTGTGCCGGCTGCAAAAGGATGGGGGAGATGGAGACATTTGCCCTCTATGGTGTGTTGCTGTGATAGGTACATTTCTTCAAAGCAACTGGGCTAGCTGGATGGTTACCACAGCGTTTCCTAGGCCATACGAACAGTGCCTGTCCCTACGAAAAGCTGTCCTGTCCCTACTGCTTCTAATCTGCTGAGACACTGAGGAAGATCTTTTTGCAAGTCCCACTAGTTGCCCGGTAATTACTCAGTATTTTCTTACTGGGTTGGAAAGCAATTTCCATACAGACAAAAAAATTCAGACAGCTAAGATGAGAATGTGACACTCACTAGAGTCAGGCTGATGTGATCAGGAGTAATTAATAGAGGGCTGGATATAATAAACAGCAGCAATTCCTAAGAAACGCTATCGTCAGATACCTGTGGGCATTTGGCTGCGCTGTAGCAGTCCCCAGCAGTGGCATAAGGAACAGGTCGTCCGTCATGTGTCCGTGCAAACTGCAAGTCAGTCGCTGTGGAAAAGAGTTGGTCAATAAAGAGGAAAGGAAGATTCAGGGAGAGAGAGACGAAAAAAATGTAAACGCGCTTTTTCACTAATGCCTAAATTCACTAGAGCTGGTTTCATACATTGCTCTTGAGGGTTAAGATCTCATAGAATGCATAGAATCATAGAATGCTGAAGGTTGGAAGGGACCTCAGAGGTCATCGAGTCCAACCCCCCTGCTCACGCAGGGTCACCTAGAGCACGTGGCACAGGGCTGCATCCAAGCGGGTTTTAAAGATCTCCAAAGAAGGAGACTCATCTGCTGGGTTTTTAGTATTAAACCCTGAAATCATCACGCATGTGTCTGTTGGCAGGTGAGAAGTCTCACTGAGTTTAATGGGACACTCATGTGCTCACATGCACAGGTCTATGTAGGTACAGCAGCAAGGTAGAGCCTAGGTATAAATAACAACAAAACTAGATTTGGGTTATATTGTTCTATCAGAACATATGATAAAACCCATGATTTGGGTTATATTGTTCTATCAGAAAACTTCCCAGTGATTTGAACCAACCACATACAAAAAGGACGGGGGACTTGCTAAATCTTCCTTCTAAACAAAACCAAAACTCTGTCTCAAAAGCTGTTCCCCATCTGCTCCTAGACCTGCGGTCTCTATGTCCCAGTCAACAAGGAGACTGAGTTTCAAAGGGACTTCGGGTATTTTGCTCTGGATGGCTCTTAAGAGACTCATTTAGATGGGGATTTGAGATAGCTCTGCCTGACAGAGGTAGGTGCCCAGCTCCTTTTGAAATGCAAAGAGAGGTGGTATCAAATTCCCCCGGGGGTGGTTCCCTTGGGATCTTTCCAGTGGAGCATTTACAGGCTGTTAGTAGCTTTTTGCAGATTAATAGCCTGGGAGGTCTCGTGTCTTGTGAACAGGGCAAGAGGCAACTATGGGATAAAGAGTCACTTTATAAGAGGTTAAAAAAATCTCCACTGCGGTATGTTGTATATTTAAGTCACTTGCTGGAAATCGCTGAAGTGATCAATACTCTATCCGGAATGCATGCTGCTGCTTCCTCCTGGGGTTGGGGAGATGCTCCCAGCTTGCATCAATGCTAGTGAGAGCTACAGGCTAATGACTTACATTGCAAAGCTGAAGTCTGCTCTGCTTTCTCCATTTTTTTTTCCCAATGCAAAGTCCACATTTTGGAAAAAAATGGCAAAAATAGGTTCCTCTGTCCTTCACATTTGGTTAACAGTCTCAGCAGCACCAATGCTAGCACCAGCCAGAATCAGTGTCCCCAGTCCCAGAGGTGGCACCTGGTGATACAGCTCTGTGCAAAATGGGGGGCTGCTCCTCCCTGGTTATGCTTGAGACAGGTCTGAAAACAGGTCACTAAATGAAACAAAATCCTTCCCAAAATCAACTCATCCGCTGGGAGCACATAAATTATTATGCACTAATATTCATTCTGCATAACAAGTGCAACAGCAACTGTCATAACTTTTTTTCCCTGTATTAAGGAGCAATAGCAACAGCATTTCTGATTTATGCAAGTTATCCTCTCTAGGCATGAAGCACCAAACCAGTGGCCGAGTTGGAAAGCAGCTCTGCAACAGGAGAGCTCAGGCACATGGCTTCCTAAACCGCTTCTGTTGGCTTGCAGTTACAACTAGATTTGTGTAAAATAAACATTTTTTTTTTTAATGGTGAGGCCCTGTGTTTACTCACTTATTATTTGCATAGTGTTCAGGTCCAGCCTTACTTTGCTGAAGGTGGAAAACCCAGCTGCTGTGTAATCTTTCCTACACTGGCAGTCTTCGCGCCGGCTCCCGTTATACGGACACTCGGTTGGGTTATGTAACCTGAATTGAAAGAAAACCCTTCCTATGCATGACAGAAACAACCTTGCCATGGCAAAGCAAAGCCCCACGAGGGTGGGAATTACAGGATTTCTTACCTGTATCCATACACTTCCGAAAAATTCTCTGCGTCCCCGTGCACGAGAGTCACGTACTCCTTCGGACTGTCCGTCTGCATCCCAGAACAATAGACCTGAACAAGAGACAAGTCACGGTTTGGTCATGCATTGCGTGCCAAAGGATGGCCTTGAAAACTGAGGGTAGACAGGGTGAAGGGGGAGGTAAAGAGCACACGCAGGGGCCTCTTGCACCGCCAGGAAATGCATAAACTATCAATCCACTGTCAAAAAACACACCTTTAATGTCTTGCCTTTCACTTGAAGGAAATATTCACCATCCTCAGTGACACCTTTGAGATTTTTAACGTCTTTGCAGCTCCTCGGTAATTCACCTGAAAGTGAAGAGAAATACACAGAGCAGCTGTATATCAAAATTTCTTCTGTGAATTCTTCCCGAATAGCATGTTTCTTTATAGGAATTTTCCTCCAAGTGCTCTAGTGCTGTTGCATGGGTCCCACTGCCAGTCCCACATCTCTGGGAGTTCAGCAAACACTCAACCCACAAGGGAAGGTGCAAATCTCCAGACTTACAGTCGTGTACGTTGTGGCACGTCCTCCTTTCCTCAGGTTTCAGATCTGTGTGGCACAAGCTACTGGCCTGGTCATCATTGGTCAAGCACTGCACTGAGCGGTGCATGACTCCAACACCGCAGGTCACGGAGCACTGCAAGATAAACACTTGGGATTCAGGTTTTGCCCCAGGCCTTGATGGGCTCTGTTCCAGAAAAAAACACACAGAGATGGTTTCTGTTGTACTAAAGGTACAACAAAGCTTTTGGTCAAGCAAAAATGTTCATCCTAAAGCAGGATGAACACAGATATCTCCAAGAGGCATCTTAGTAGTCCTCTGTGACTTGTTCTTTCAGTAATCAAAGCTAAAAAACCAACTCTTCCTAAGGGTAGTATGTTAGACCACCATGAAAAAGAAGATGCACCTCTTGAGAAGCACAAAATTGACCTTAGTGCATGACGAGCTATTATTCATCGGTTCAGGTTGCAGCCTGGCATCTACTCTCTCCGAGTCCCACATCCAAAAATCTTAACAAAGGAGCAAAGCAAGAGCTCTATATTTGCCCTTCAAAGGTGATGGTAACTCTAGTTAAACTCCTTTGAAAATCAGAGATGAGAAGGGTCATGGCACTTGGTCACTGATACCTTCAGGAGCCCAAAGCTCGGAGAAAGAACTTGCTCTCTGAAAAGGATACCCCTCTCAAGGAGGTTTTGTTAATGAGGTCCTGTTGGAAATTTTACCTTGAAATATGGCAGGGGGCAATGCCAGTTCATGGAAATAGAGCCTCTTGCTGTAACTTCTCCGCCCCAGCTCACGGTAAGAACCTGAGATTTCCTACGGGCAGGAGGAACTTATGTTTCAAACAGCTCCACCGCTTGCTACAACACCTTGCACTACATTTTGCTCGACTTGACCCTTGGTGCCTTGTAAAAGTCTGACAAATTCCTACCAATACTTGAACTGCGTTAATAAATCAAATTTATGGGAGAAACGCTGCATTTCAAAGGATGTTGGAGCTCAAAGATGTGAAATGTTATAGCTTTAACTAAAATCTGATCTTGTAGTTCAGGCCCTGGGAATAGCTTCGCACAAATAACTTTAACAGAAAGGCTTAGTTTTCACCTTCCCTGTACCAGTATTTGCAAGAAGGAAAGAGAGGAAGGA